AGGGGTCACAGAATCAAACTCATCCCAGATGGTCTCCACAAGATTCATCCCTGTCGACTCGCCCGAATCTACCCATTCAGAGTCCAGGCCCATCCGGATCTGAGCGATTTTATCCTGCAGATACTTAACAAAGAGAAACTTTATGCTGGTGATCTAAATCCAAATATCCCAACTACATGGATAAAATCATATACACTCTTTGCATAATAAATCTGATTACATAATGCACATTTTTGCATAAATTTCACAAAATGATTCCACTCTGCTAAGAATATATATAATTTAAAAACCCTCCCTTTTTATGACCCTGTAATCCCTTAATTTGTGGTAGAGTTGAGGCTCCTACATAGAACTGAGAGTTTATTGGCAGGATGCCCCTCCTGATGCCTCTGTGGAATTTGCGCCATAAGAGAGAAATATCTGCCGCTACTTAGGATTGAACTCTCAACCTTCACAGTGGGAGTCGAGCATCTTTACTCATACTGCTCTTAGAACATATATCATTAAAATCATGAAATCTAATCAATTTTGGAAAGTTTCTCCATTTAATTATAGGCTATTACAATGAAACCAATACATGATAAAAATCTAAACACTTGACTTTCTAGAGAGTATTGTTCTTGGGAATCTTTTTTTTTAACAGCAGCTACTGATTACAGATCCTCAATTTCCTAATATTTTTTTCTTTCAAAATTGGAAACTGATAATAGTCTCACAGTTAATGAGAGATGCAATTGCGTTTTCTTCAGATATAAAATAAGTAATCAAAATAAATGAAATCTTTCAGAGACAGAATCACTTCCTATGAAGCAATATAGGATTGTTTTATTAATTTATACCAATAAAATAATAAACATAACACCCATTTTCTTCACCTGTCCCAATGTCTCTACATGATGTGAAGGTCTCAAAGTATTGTCTGAAGTATTGTCAGATAGAGAAGCACATTTTAGAAAACTATATTGATGTTAACTTTGTCTTCCTTCTCAACAAGAAAAAGAGACACGGGAAAAATACCTTGCCAGTGATGTTGTGATAGCACAAAAAATGCTTCTGGGATTCAAAAGGTAGTGAAATGCAATTCTAAGTATCTATTTTCCACAATTATTATTACTCAAGTAATAGTGATAAATCTTTTTATTATTATTTTTTATTATGCAATTTTCTTTGTTGTGTATAAAATTTCCATATTCACAATAGCAGTGTACTGTCTGGGTACAATCTTTTTAAAATACACATAATAAATCTTATACACATAATAATTATGACTATTATTCTCAAAATCTATTAGCCATGGTCTTCACTTATCCTTATTAAACATTTTCCATTGTTTAATTAAATGCTCTGTTCAGTTTTATGTATAATAAGTTAATAATATCAGACATTATAAACATGTAAACATCACATTTATAACCATTATACTTCATCTATTTATCATGTTTACTTATCCTAATTATTAAATATTCATTATTTAATTATAATTACTTCATCTTTGATTACATATCCTTCTCGATTCTACATTTCTAATTTCTGTTTCTATTTTCTAACCATTAATAAAATAGTTCCCAAGTTAAAAAGTATTTTCACCATTTCTAGTTTCTATCTGTATACTAATTTTTAATGGAGCAACTCCTACATTAAACAGTATTCTACTTCTATGACTCAGCTCTTGCCTGTTTTTGTATTTCATCTTTTATTGACTTCTTGACACATCTCCCATCTCCTCCCTTGGGGTCTTATATCTTCTTATATCATTCATGTTTAATCTAAGTATTTCATCTGTCTCTATTGCTGTTTCACTCTGTTGAGCCTTCAGTAGGCGTTTCAATGATCCTTTCCTCACTTCAGGAGTGTCTTTTCATGTATCATCTTCTATTTTTTGATCTCTAGAAATGTAATTTACCTTTCATATTTCATCAGCTTTTACTATATCTTCTTTTTCTTTTTGTATCATTTGTCGTTTTTTCTCCCTGTCCTTTCCTCTGTTTTCTCCTCTACTTCCTGGATTTCATAGTCATTATTCAGTGTCATTTGCTCATATTTTTCATATTTTTCTAGTCCCATAACTACATTATATATCAATTCCTTTATCTCCTTATGATTCTTTGTCAATAATATTTATTTTAATAATACACTCATCCCCCCCTGTTGTATCATTTTCCTTTATTTTAATGAATTAAAAAGTTACTCAGTAATCTATCACGATCCCAATGTCCCAATTATCCATCACACCAAGAAAGCCAATATTAGAGCAGTTCACAAAATCACTCCATTAAATAGTCCATTAGCAACCTTCACTTAGTTTAGAAACAAATCCAAGCTGTTTCCCACTCTCACACTGTCCAGCATATTTTTAATCCTCAAGGTTCTAAGAGTTTAATCTTTTCACAGTCTGCCTCCAAACGCCACCAAGTAAAATCAATTTGTAGGTGGTGTTAATGTATTCCAGCTAATTTGTAGCCTGAACAACTTTCACTCCTTCCACTTTTTTCAGCTCTATGATGTCTTCCCTGGCAAGTAGGTATCACTGTTACTCTTTTTCTCCGCTTTTGCTGCAAATAAATTTTCTCCAAAAATATTTTCCAATAATTTTCCAAAGTCCTTCAAATCAAGATGGCAATAAATGTATAATCCAATATTTTGAAAAGATTTAAATTGCTAAAAACTAGCCAATCCAGTCTATCCTTCATCTTTAAGGTTGCTGCTGTCTACAATTTATTTTCTTTCTTTTCCAAATCTGTCAGTAGCTCCAGGTCTTAGTCACCGCTGTTCCCCTCAATTGAGTCCCATTTTATAAAGGGGGTGTTTTTTAGGGGAAATTCCACAGCAAAAGTTAGAAAGTTCTTACCCAGACCAACCACACTGTTACAGTATCTTTTCTTTCTTCTCTTCCATTTCAGCTGTCACAGCTTCGGTTCAGCCATAATGGCCGTCTTCTCTTCCAGTTAAAAAGGTTTTGTTCAGTTCAAATGAGGAGACTGTGCTCTCCTTGTGACCACCAAAGCATCCCCTCTGTCTTTGTCATCCCTACAGGGTAACTTTCGGCCCAGCAGACCCTCCTG